CTACTGACGTATTTCTACATAAAAAGCACAATAGCGTGAGAAGCTTTTGTCGAGGTGCCTCTCAAAAATGATTTTAAACGATTCCAGCTGTTCAATTTTGGTCGGAAACTTAATGCACAATCAAGGAAGTTATAAACATATTTCATACGTATCAAATTGAATGTGCTTTTGGCGGAGATATCTGATATAACGTGCGCCCAAAAAATAACGCTGCGCATAGGGATTGATGTGTCGACTGCCGGGTAAGCTTTTGTAGTTTGATTATAATGCATGAATTTACATTTAAAAATAAAATTGCAACGCAAATTGCAAATGAATTTAGAATGCACTGTGCACGCAGTTGCAAAATAATGCGCATGGAACGCACATGGCACATGGTAATTGTGTGCCTATAATTTGTTTTACGTGCAGCTCACCATGCTGATCTCTGTTGTGTATTAATTGTGCATGATGTATATTTGTACTGTTCTTTTATGCATACAATGTATATAACGTCATAACAATAAAAAAGCAATCGGCCATAGACCATTGTAACAAGTAAGCTGGTTAAAACATGTATTGATTTTATTTGTATAGCATAGTATATCCACCAGCGTGCGCTTTTTCGCATAGCGGGCTCTCACCAGCCCGCTGTCAAAGGGCCCGATATCTCTACAGCCCGCTCATGATATAGCCCGCTAACAAGTGACATTTAATTTGACCAGTAGCAATATAGCCCGGAGTTCTCTAAAATATTTTCAGTTTCTGTATCGTCTCCATGTGAAATTTCATAAGATAACAACTTACAAGTTACTTAGAACTATAGTTGAAACCGGTTTAATTCATTAACGATGAATTCAATCGCAATAATCGTACAGTGAGCTAATTAGTGTAGTTTCTGTTTCTAAATTCCCACGGCAATATGCAGTGGATGTAAAGAATGTATCAACTGTAAACTCTGAGCTCACCCTCTATCGGACGCTATATCAGTTGTCACGCAGTTTGCCATGATTGGCTCATAATTAACACGTGACACTGACACACTGTTACTATGGTTACCAAATTCGTGGAGACGTCCAGACTAAATTCTAAGCCGGTGATCTCTATTATAGTATTGATAATTGTTTTGTGTTTACCATTTCAGTTGTGTTTACCATTTTCATTTCACTAGTTCAGTCGACAAATCTTGAAATGTAGGCCGAAATTTTACGTGTTATTCTATTGTGTTCCCGAAAGATATGTTGCCCTGTTTTTGTTTTGAAACTGCCATTTAAATTGATGTTATGAATTTGATCTTTAACTTTCATATTAAATGTCCATGATCAGACTGTGATCTCGAGCTCTCTGGGTTACTACTTTTAAGTGTCCAGCCACTCAGTAGCTGCTACAGAAACTGTGGTAACTGGTTACCCGGGTAACCCTGGTTACCCAGGTAACTGACATGATAATGACAACTAACTTGGTAGTAGAGGGCTCTGTGGCGACTGGTGGTGCTTGTTCTGGTTCTAGGGAGGGAGAGGGGAGAGAGGTAGAGAAGTATAGAGGAAGAGTAGGATAGAAAGAGAGGGAGAGGAGGAGAGAGGGAGATAAAGAGAGAGGGATAGAGGGATAGAGGGAGAGAAGGAGAGAGGGAGAGAGGCCTATATTTTGATCGTTTACATTAAAATATGTACCTGAAACAATGAGCTGAAACATTGTTTGATAGCAGCCGGTTTTTCGTTTTATAGTCAGTCATTTTGGCCTGTTTTACATCTTAAACCAAAAGCAACATGATTTTTTCGTAACTTTTCTGAAATCTTGTACATTAATTAAAATTTGCTGTGATTGATGCAAACTGAAGCTTCGTGATAAACGCCCGCTAATGGATATACACGATATCATTCCTCGCCTCGAGGGCGGAACTATCGTATTAGAAACATGTTGAAAGTAAAAGTGAAACTAAATTAAAAACGGATCTCTTGAAGAAACTAAAGTAAAAAATAATATCTGTAAGAAAAAGCTCACGCTGGTGGATATAATCCACATCACCTCGACCCGCGGGCGGAAAAATCGTATAGCACTCGGGCCCGATGGGCCCTCCGTGCTATACGAAAATATGTCCTCCTCGGGCTAGCGCCCTCGGGGACATATGAAATATTGCACGCGCGTGCGCGTGCAATATTTTGTTCCGCCCGCGAGTCTCCGGTGATATGTATATTTATCAAATTCTGCTATGCAATTATTGAACATCGACCATTTTATATTACGTAACTGCTTTCTGGGTGGACCGCAATTAGATTTTGACCGTTCTGAGTAAGCTGTGGGAGTGTTAAAGTAAGCTATACTTGTACTTGTAGGTTTATAACCGGCCTACCAAGACGCGCGCCGAGTTGGACTCATCGACGGTCTATATTTGAAACAAATATTTTACGAGTATCACCCGTTCAATCTTACTATAAGTATATATAAAGCGAGACGATATATATATATAAGGATCCGTGCCATTTTACTGACATCACAGCATTAACTTTAACTCAACTTCCCGCAAAAACCGTAAAAGATATACAATTGAAACATTTTTGACTGGGTCAAATGCTTTAATGGCCTTCAAATCAGCATGAAAAAAACAAAAATAAAAAATTGGCCAAGGAATAAGAATTTTAGTGCCAAAATTTGGACTCCCAAGTGGTGTCAAAAACGCAAATTAAATAGGTAATATTTATTTCAGTCTCTCAAGTCTTGACACCACTATAGGGTTAGACGGGTTGCTGCTAGTAATAGTATGTACAACGCTTATATTGATATAAAGTTTTGAGTAAAAATTAAAACTCTGTCATATAATATATATAATACGTCTATCCCTTAAATATTATTTTACTATCCCACAGAGTTTTATTGGTAGAACTATAGTTATTATATATTGATGATTTTACCAAAACCCATAATCATGGGTAGAGTGGACCGCTGCCAGTGTCTCTCTTTCCCAAACAAAAGGAAATGATATTAATTTGATTGACCGTTCTCAAATGCAAAATGATACCGAGAATGAAATCGGTCGCTCGCTTTTCCCATTCATTCACGGCTTACGAATTGTATAAATTAGTTTCGATTGATTACATCAATCAGATGCTGTAAAAATCTCTTTGGGTTGCGTTCGGGTCGATACCTAGTATTTCGGGGTAAGGGACAAGGGTGGTAGTTATAACTTATTGAATAAGCTGAAGTTTATTGAATCTTTATTGCCGAGTACAGCTGCCTTTGGGCAGTTCTTCTTAATCTATTACAATTGTAAATGAATGGGAAAAGCGAGCGACCGATTTCATTCTCGGTATCATTTTGCATTTGAGAACGGTCAATCAAATTAATATCATTTCCTTTTGTTTGGGAAAGAGAGACACTGGCAGCGGTCCACTCTACCCATGATTATGGGTTTTGGTAAAATATCATCTCTTTTTGATTATAATGTCAGGGTACTTTATAAAGTCGAAATATAAACTGATATCTTCATTAATAAGGAGGAAGTTTCAACGATTTCGAAATTTTTCCTTTAAAAACATTTCCTTGTGTTTAGGGAAGCATATCGGTCGATCACTGACTGAATATGCCACTTAATACTCATTCAAGTTGGCATTAAATTCATATATAATGACATTAAACTGTCATGGCAAAGCAGAATTTGTTGGAAATCACGAATGAGCAAAATTCTCACCTTTCGCACGTGCAAACTTTGAGCGGACGTTGCGTGCGCATCCAATATTGAATCGCCGTAAAGTTTTGCATGTAATTGTTTTATATATAGTTTGATAAGCATGCAAAGTTTCAAAGTATTTCAAGAAGAACTGTAATCAAAACGGCACTCTAAAGTTGACAGAAAATGACGAAAACAGCAATTTTCAGTGATTTTAGCAATTTTCTATCAATTTGGGCGTGTCCCCACGTGTGCAACTTTTCGAATTTCAACTTTAAAACTAGCCTAATGCACAATTTATACCTATAGGAAGCAGAACTGAGCTCCACAACCCAAGGCATGGCCCAACACAAGAGAATACTAAATCGCAAAATTGATGTTTTTATAAAATAATTCTTCAAAAAAGCACAAACTTCAATGACGAATATCTTTATGAAGGAGCAAGCTAGAAAAACTTTCTGGTAGATTTTCAGAATGCTTGAACAATTATCTAAGGTGAAAATTTCCTCAGATTTTGAATTAAATTACTCCTTAATGGTGTAAAATTAATTTTAAAAGTTATTACTTTGTCAAAAATCAAGTTTTAAAAACAGTAAACTTGATGACGTCATCAAGGGGTGTTTATGACGTCAAATAATTTTTTATACAATGTAAACTAAAGTGTAAATAATTATTTGCAAGACCTGTGGTCGGAAATGGCTGTATCTTTTATACTTTTGAATCTATGGATACTTAAATACAGGTTACAATTGACAGGCAAAGCGTCTATCCCTGAATATATAGGTATGTATATCTGTATGTATATGTCACGACAATCTGTCGTAAAACAGGGGTTCTAGAAAACCTATTTCCCGATGTTCCTGAAACCTGAAACTTTTATTGCAGTCGATTTGGTCAACGTCTAGACGCCCTAGAAAATTTCAGATCTCTAACTCGATTTTAACATGGTTTTTAAGGCACCTGAATATGGCGATTTTGGGTTTTTTACCGAATTTCGTATAACAGTGCTGGCGAGTATTTTATGCAAATTTCTTAAAAATCTCAACATAACTATTTTTTATTCCTGTCATCTTTGACATCAAATTAGAATGTTTTGAACTAAAAATAAATCTGCTGAACGACTTCCGATGAGTCTTAATGCCTGAAAAACTCCTGCCGGAGGCGGCGGCCTTCGGCCGCCGCCTCCGGCCGGAGTGCACGCTTCGCGTGCACGAAAGAGGCTTGTAACGTGTACCAAAGGGGGTATAATAGTAAAGGGGGTATAATATTAATAGTAAAGGGGGTATAATAGTAAAGGGGGTACATAGTATACCCACAATAAATGCACCGGTCGTGCTTGCCAGCACTGTGATAATAGTAATAAATAGAATCATCTAGTGAACTTTTGTTGGAACTGCAATCGCGTTTCGAATCAAGTTGAGCTGGTTAAACTTTTACACTTTCGTTGATTATTACTTCCATTCTATTGGCAGCAACTCCTTTGTATAACCCCTTCACTTCACAGGTGCATGCTGAAAAGATACCTTTTTAATTCTTATTCTTTTTTTTTTTTTTTTTCTTTTTTTTCTTTTTTTTCTTTTTTTTTCTTTTTTTTAAAATTAAATATTCAACCTACTAAAACCAATGGGGCCCTCCCCGGGGTCATTACTCTCGCATTTGCGAGAGTCGTCCCAAAGGTGTGAAAGTAGGTCAAGATTTGTTCACACCAAGCCCTAGCATCGCTATTTGCTGACCATCTTCCTTCACTGAAGGTATGTTTTTAGAGAGTGGAGGCCGACCGTCAGCTTGGGATGCAGGGCCAAGTGGTAAACAACGTCAAGGCCCCCTTCCACATGGGCCATGTTGGTTTTGGCAGATACTATGGTAATAAGATATGAAGTGAATGAGTGAAATGAAGTGAGTGAAAAGGGTGTAAAAGAGGAAGAGCTTGTAAGGTAGTTTAGGAATGGAAGGAAAACAGGGCATGTACTACAAAAAACAGCTAGTAGTACTGTAAGATAGTAACAATAACCATTGATAATAAATAACAATTGATAATAAATAACAAAGACAGCAATATAGATGGGGTGGACAATTTGCCCTAATCGGCCAAGATCGACACAATAGAACTTTTGTGACCTATTTTGTCTCCTGTAAGTGAAAGTTTAAGAAGTTTGATATACCCCTGCCAGATCGGCATGTCCCCTGCCTGAAATATTTTGCTAATGTACCATTTGGCAACAATATTAAAATAATTTATAATTTGTGAATTGTGATTACAAACTATAAAATTAATTTTATTGGGGTCTTTGTAATTTCTATCGATTTTCCTTTTTATAAAGTCTTCAAGTATTGTGATGAAGCTATTTGTGTGGATACAATGGAGATAGATATGAGGAATTGTTTCTAAATATGTGTTACACAGGCTACACATGGGAGTATCTGTAACAATTTTCATTTTGTGTCTCATGTATCTACACGTCGTGATCCTCATTAAAAGTTTGTACTGAAATTGAATCAACTTAAAATTTTTAGATACTAAGAAAAATAGGTTGCTTAGAACGACCACCCATTCTATTGGTTGATTATTTAGGTCAATAACCCATTGACGTAATGGGGACAGCTCGTTTGGGCAGATAGAGTCGTACATTTTATCCCGAATTTTACTTCCCTTCACCTGTCCAGTTACAGAATGTAAAAATTTAAGTTTTATATTTGAGTCAACAAACTCAATATTCCTTGAGTTAATAGTGGGGCAGTTATATCTCCGTATCCCCATGATAATGTTACAGTACTCAGTTTTGGAAATAGTATTTGGAGACAACTCCCACTTGTTAATGAACATATCGTAGTTAAGGATTGTACTTTGGTCTATAGAAAGGAAATCTGAGATGTAGAATATTCCCTTATCAATCAGATGATTGTTCCAAAGTTTGGCCCCGATGTCGGTTATTGCTTGGTTGTACCACACGCAGTGATCAATAGAACCCAAGGCTGCATTTACCGAACTTATCTTCCACTCAGTGTAACAATTAAGGACGTCTTGAGTAAAATGGCAGTTGGTTTTAGCGAGACCGTTTTCTACGGAGATGGTGATATGGTCAGGAAATTTCAGTTGCATAATCATAATATCTTTCCAAGTGTGGTGAAAGGAATTGTTTAGTAGCTTGGATATGAGGCTGGTTTTAAGACCTATAATAAAATCAGATAAATAAAAAAGTCCCAGGCCTCCATGTTCCTTATTTCGGGTAATAATCTCACGTTTTACTTCATCGCGTTTGCAACCCCAAAGAAAATGGAAAATAGCCGTGTCAAAGATTCTGATAAAGGAAGCATCCGGTCGAGGGAGAGGAGAAACAAGGTATGTTAATTGGGAAAAGAGAAGGGTTTTAATGACTGTGCATTTACCCATAAGCGTCAAATCCCTCTTGCTCCATCGGTTTATCCAAGACTGAACCTTAATCAATTTATCATTATAATTACTGTTGACAATATCCATCAGTGAGCCATCGTTCATATAAACTATACCCAAAGCGGTGAAGTTGTTTGTTATAAAATCATAGCCGTATAAACTTTGAAGGGATTCTAGTAGTTGTATTAAGACGAGCTCGACCTAAAGGAATACATCTAGTTTTGTCGATGTTAGCTTTACACCCCGAGCACTGAGCAAAAGTTCTGAGTTCTGTCATAACCGCCTCTACACTTTCAATTGAAGCTTTTAGAAACAGATCAGTGTCGTCTGCAAAGAGACTCTGTAAGATTTCCACACCTGATATGTTAAGACCCCTGATATTAGGATTAATCTGAATTTTATTCGAGAAAGTTTGGGCCACAATAAGAAAGAGAATAGGAGACAGTGGACTACCCTGGTGAAGATCTCTTAGAATATAAATAGGCGAGCTTAAAAACCCATTAATATTGGCGTAGCTAAAGCATGCTTGAAAAGCCACTTTAATCAGTTTAATAATGTATTCGCTGAAACCCAATTTTTCAAGAGTACTGAAGACAAAGTTATGTTCTACCGAATCAAAACACTTTTCAAAATCAATCTGTAATAGGAGGCCCTCTTGTTCCGTGTCGTTGTTAAATGATTCCAGAACCATTGACATGAGAATAAGATTATCTGCTGTACTCCTGCCCGCTTGAAAGCCTAACTGGGTATTGCTGATTATGCTAGGGATAGCCTTCATAATCCTATTTTTAGCTATATGTGTGAAGATTTTATAGTCAATATTAAGCAGAGTAATAGGTCTCCAATTCTTTATGTAATTAAGTTCCACTGGGCTTTTTGGCTTGGGAATAAGGGTAAGAATACCTATTCTCTGCGAGGCGACAAGCATCCCCTGTTAATAGATTCTAAATAGGAGTTATACATGATCTGCCTGATATCCATCCAAAGAGTTTTGTAAAATTCAGCAGAAAGCCCGTCCCAACCTGGAGATTTATTGTTGGTTAGCTTATTGACAATAGCATCCATTTCGTGCAACGTGATAGGCCCCTCCAAAGTTTCCGTAATTTCTTGTGGGATTTGCTTTAAATCGCTGCTGGTTACATAATTATCTATCTCAGTGGGAGATGGGTTAGTTGAGTTATACAGGTTCTGATAAAAGTTAACCACGTGACTAGAGATGTTTTCCTGGTCCGTGAGGTCATTGCCTTCGATGTCTATCAGTTTACTAATACTTTTTTTCTTGCCGTTTGATTTTTCCAGTCCAAAAAAATATTTAGTCGAGCGCTCCCCCTCCTCTGTCCACTGCACACGTGATCTAGTAATTGCACCTCTCACCTCCTGATCTATAATATGATTTAAATCTAATTCTGCTTCAAATAATTTCTTTTGTAGTATCGTACAGTTTGTTAGGTTCAAATCTTTTTTACAATCTTCAATATCTTTTTTTAACTTTTCTTTTTTCACTGTGATTTCTTTTTTCTTCTTTTTACCAAAAGTCATTGCGAACTGTTTTATCTTGATTTTTATAACGTCCCAAAGACCCCCGTAAGAATCAAAGCTATCTTCTTTAGTATTGTCAATGATTTTCTTTATTTCGTTAATAAAATTTTGATCTAGGAGATCTGAGTTGTTAATTTTCCAATATCCTTTTCCGTGTGCAATAGTAGAGCCCTGGAGGGATAGCGAGATGTAGCTGTGATCAGATTTATAGCCATGACTTATTCTGTATCACATACAGGTAGGTTGACTAGGCTATCTTGGATCAAGAAAAAATCTAATCTAGACTGAGTTTTGTACTTTTTGTTAAAATGAGTAAAAACCCGTGCCTCAGCACCTCTGTTAAGACGGAAAATATCACTAAACCCATAGTCGCTAATGCAATCATTAATGAATTTCTGGCAGCGACTATTTGCATGGGTGGCGGACCCCACCTGCTTATCCAACATGTTGTTCAGAACTGTATTCCAGTCTCCCACAAAAATTATTTGATCATCTCGTGAACGACTGAGAGTTTCTAAAAATATGTTTTCAAGAAATGACACATCGTCATTATTTGGGCAGTATACATTCACCAAACACAATTTGAGAGAGTCGTACTCTATTTCTACAAGGGTCGCGCGACCTTGGCTGATGCTACGATGGTTAATAATAGTGAGATTCGAAGCATCAGGTTTAACAAGTAGGGCGATACCGGTTGAGTTTGAAGTACCATGGTTAAAGATTATCTCCCCGTCCCAAGAATTTTTCCACTCTCTCTCAACTTGAGGAGTTGAATGAGTTTCTTGAAGACAAATAATTTTCTCAGGTTTATTTTTTAACCAGTTTAGGACAAGATTACGTTTAATCGGGTTTCCCATACCATTGCAGTTGAAAGAACCGATTTTTGGGCATGCCAACCCACTATTGCTGTTATTTTGCGGAGTCATTGTTAATCTGAAAAATGCCCCATCCTTCCTTGGTGTAGTTCTTAACACCCCCTAAATTAAACCCCAGAAATGAAGGTGATGGTGTTGTGAAAAAGTGAGAATATACAATGGCAATAACACAAAAAACATGCACACACAACATAGAAACACGGAAAACGATCGTAGAGAAATCGACTCTACAGTGATACGGCATGTTTGTACTACAACCTAAACTAGCCCCGCCCTTATTATAACAGTTATTATCGGAATAATAGTAATACCAATTATTGAGGTGACGAGGTAGCAAGGTGAAAAACACACTGTACCTAGGAAACATGAGTGAACGCGTCGCAAGGAGAAGTTGTGACAGTGTACCCGAAAATGTAACAGGTAGAAGATCAGAAAATCTAGAACAAAATAAAAATGGCCTCAATATAATGTGGAGAGGTTAGAGCTATACACCGAACAGAATTGTTTTTTGTGGTTTTTAGATGGCATAGCCTGTATATAATTTTTTAAAACTTTTATTTAATGAATAACTTTACTGCACTAAAAATCAGGACGAGTCAAAAGGACCCTGGTAATAGTACATATAACCATTTTTAACAAGGTAACGGTGGTAAAAATATGTGACTCACGTGGAGAAGGATCTGCAGCAATAAAATAATATTGGATCAGACATCCATACAGTAACCAGAATTTAGAACTGGTTCTCTCGAAGTCGGTAATATACAGGTGTAATAATGAGAGGGGATTAAATTATGAATAAAAAGTTACCTAAACTGGATAAGCGACTGAATGGAGCAAATATAGCATTAATAAGGTTAATGGTATCGAGCTGACGGATACAATAACATAAAGCTGGCGGTCACAATAATATAATGAGATACGCACGCTTGATAGCGGATGATAAAGTGATAATAAGCCCTAACCACGTAATTCCTACACCACGGAACCAATGAACCACCACCTGAAGAATAGGCACACGCTGTACAAATACTAAGCAGTAAATCAGATGTTAAATGTTTAAAAATGAAGGGGTCTCGTAAGCTAAATCTTAATAAATACAGGGAAAACGCCCTATAAATAAAAAATACCAATTTAAACGATTAGTAAATAACTGGGTGATATAAGAGTTACAACCGGTTTTAAGAGGTTGTCGGAGAATTACTTGACCTACGTTGGACCCGTTTGATATTTGGGAGGCCATGTCTGGCCCTTAGGGCAAATTTTAACCGGCTAAAATAAACCTTCAAACCGGCTTCGTTTAGATGAAAAGAGTCCGAGTTTCCGACTGAAAATTTCGGTAGCAGCTTGCCGTTGTTGCTTTGGAATGTTTTCATATCTACGTATGATGCATTCGGCAAATTTTGGCACATATCGTTCAAATAAAAATTATATTTTGTGATTCTGGTGTTGATTGTGGGGGAGGTAGATGGGAGAACCCCGGGACAAAAGACATGACATGAAGGAAGTGCTTTCCTGACTTTCTTTATGTAGGAGAAAGTAGATTTAGCCAAATCTTCCGGGACACAAGAATCTAACTTTAAGTTGTTAGTGCCTACTGCTAAAATAAGATCAGATATACCATTATATGATTCTGGCTCTGGTAAATTCTCGACCGTAGCTACAAAGGTATCAGATCCCGGTAAGGCGGCCCCTAGAGTTCCCTTTCCCTGTCCGAATTTAATTTTCCCCCCCGAATTGGAATCACCAAGTAAAGCAATTTTGGTCTCAGGAGAACCTACTGGCTCCCATCCTGACTCTATGTTTAATGAGTTTGACCCTGAGAGTGTATCTAGTTTCGCCTCAAGCTCAATATTTAGGTTTTCCAAGGAAATGACACGGTCTGACAAATCTGTGAGTTCGAGCTGTTGTGACCCCGCTCTCTCACCAATACTAGACATTCTGGAATCATACCTATCGAGTTTTGATGTGATCGTATCTAATCTAGAATCGAAACTTTCTAATTTACTGGAGATTGCGTCAAGTCTGGAAACAGTCGAGTTAGAAAAGTTATTATACAGGGTTTCTATTAGCTTAACAATGGACTGCTCTTCGGTCTCAATAGGAGAGCCTGAGATGTTTAGGTTCGGACGTTTTGGAGCATCCATGTCAGAGGGCGAACTACTAGCACTTACATCAGATAAAGTCCTTTTATTATCCGATTGTTGTGGCGGAGAACCAGAAAAGTACCCTAAGATACTCGACATAACCGATAAATATGTGCACAGCTAAATTGTAGCCGGTAAAAACTTATCACGTGGTAAATAAAATGTACGTGTTAAACTATGAATAGCATAGACGTTAGGAAGGTTCTAGAAAAACGGGTAAAAAGTCACAACTTTAACGGATAAAAATTATCTTAGATAAGCATTATAGTACATGATTGAAAAAACCGTTATAAAAAGTTGAAATAAAGGTGTAATCTAAAAAAGATAAGAGAGCTTAAGAAAAGGTGGCGAAATGAAAGTTTAAAATGAGAAGAGAAATTCTTATTCTTACAGATACGTTTGTCGTTTCACCACTGCTGCTAACAATCTGAAATATGCACAGTGCGAACCGTGCGAATTAAAACCAATAACGTGAATTGAGTTACAAGATAACGCACCTTGATCATTATTATTGGTCCATGTCATAGTGTATGGAACAGAAGCTTGCTCCTGGATAATGACGACAGAGCAAGTGGAGGTCTTCCCAGCCGGTCCTTTGCATTCAAATTCGATTTTCAATGATTTTTCAACTGATTTCTCTTTTCCTGTTGGGTGCGAAAAGAAAGAATTAAAATCATTTTTTCGTGTCTGTATTTGGGTTGTAGCAAAACTTCGAACTCTAGTGCATGCTGATGTGTAGTAATAGTATGACACACATCAGATCTATAAGTATATGCAGATTCAATAGCTCACTCACATTTTGCCAGATCATGAAACATACAATTACACGGACACGCTTACCGTAGCTAAATTCGTACGGAGCGGACAACGCTAAGGATATTTCTCCAGTTGTGATAAAGGGCACACTGGCAGTAAAGGTAGTTCCAGCAGCTACTCCGGCTGGTTGACTGAATAACATCGTCTCCATTACTGTCTCCAACACACTCACGTTCACAGTATGAGTCTCAGAGCCTCCGTTTCTGATAACTTTGTGGCTGCAGGTATTGGTTACTTAGCCCTTGGTCAATAATCAATATAATCATTAGTACACTATGGCCCAAAATACATTTTGAAGCAACATCTGCAGTTTTAAAAATAACGCTGTAATCTTCTATAGAAATTACAATGGGGTTTTTTGCTCGCAGAAAGCGATTTCGCTTAATTTGTAATTAGTGAGATATTATAGAAATAGTCTTCACATAAGAAATAAGAATGGATTTCTCGACTTACCCGACGGTGGTGGGTTTCATTGGAAAGATTTTACCAGCAGTGACGTGGTACTTTATATCAGTTGCTGTCCAAGTGGAACTGTTGATCTTTGAGCATCCGCAGGGCCCTAAAATAAAATGACTTAATTTGAATTGGTGATACTTGTAGTTTGAATTATGAATATTCGAAACCAATCTAGTTTTCAAGTCCCTACCAGTATTTTGACAAACTGTTTTCTTCCAATGCAATAAAGCGCATATTATCGGGTTACCTCAATACCTGCTTACCTGGTTGAGACATGTAGTAATCAGAGGCAGTATCACGAGAATAGAACCATATCTTAGTCACGTGCCTCCCGAGATAGGGGCTGACCCAGTTATTGTACGGACATGTTGAAGGAGAGAACACAAAGTTTAGAACCTCCACTCCGTTGCAGTCAACCACAAGTCTGACAGCTGAACTTTCGTTACCGACTTGCTCGTTGATTGTTTCCGAACTTTTGAGCAATGCTATTTTCCAAATCTTGTCTGTTGGTGAAGGCAGATTAGTTGGAAAGTCAGTGTGACTTTTGCATCCGCGAATGTAATATTGTGGAGTTGAGTCGAACCTGATTTCGAATGCTCCTGAATAATGGCTTTGTGAATCGTAAAAGTACACCCTAGATACATCTCCACTTCCAAGTAAACTATCTGTTTTAATTTGTAGTGGGGTCTTCTCAAGGTTGTAATCTACGAATTCGTTTCGTTGTACTCTTGTCCAACCTGTGTGCATAAATGTCACTTCTTGATAACTATATATATATATATATATATAAACAAAAGCTCTAAGAAACAGATAGTAAACAAAGTAAACATTTCTGTCCCCTAATATTTCTCAAACAAAAGTCATGCAATTTGCATACTTAACTCTATTCTGAGCAATTAACGTTAAATAGTTAAAATCACATAAATTATTCAACGATAATTTTCGAACACTAAGGTCTTGTAGAATCAGTGAGAAAAGGTTTAACTGCGGTCTTCCACGCCGCCCTTGAAGCTGTAAGGTGTTAACAGCAAAAACAAGCGACGAATAGGCTGGACCATCTGCAGTAGGCCCACGCAGTACATGTCCGAGCATCCTCCACCGACTACGAGCCACTTTAGCTGACAATGGTTCGCTATTGCAGCGTTTATACAAGTTCTTGTTGGAAATGATGTGAGGGTATTTGTAATTCAAAATTGATCGCAGATGACGTCTGTGAGCAATATTTAGTTTTTCCAACACTGATTTAGGGGCAGCCCAGCAAGATGAATTGTACATTAAAACGGATACTACCAGAGCCTCATACAACAGTAGCCTCTTGCTCAGAGGGATCTTATGGTTCCAAGCTTTCTTGTATTTGTTAAACGAGGCATATCCCAGACATATTCTTCTAGAGATGTCCTCCTTACTACAAAGCATGGAGCCAAGCGTGATACTCTTTCTCCAGAGCTCGTTCCCTGCAATTGGCTTACCCTGATCGTCTTTAGCTCCCTTTTCAGCTAAGGACACATGAGTGAAATTAAGATAAGTTTTTCACCTCATCATCGTCGCTGCGATTACTTTTCCTGTGTCTGATGACACCAATTGACGATTTTGCAGCATTCTTTATGGACTCAAGTAAGCAATTTAAATCTGAATTTGGATCCAGAGCAGGAACAGTGTTACTTAAGTTATCATCTAAGGATTGACGATATTTCACCTGAATGGTGGGGTTCGAGGTGAGTTCAGAGGTGTTGAACTTTAAGGATGACTTGGAGTGGCGTTTATAGCAAAGACAGATTTCCTTAAAGTCTACTCTAGTGCGACAACAAATCTGTGATCAGAGTATGTCAAGGTGTATGCATAAGATCTAGAATCTTGTAGTTGTAGCATTGGCTTCGACCTATTCCGACACAGGATGAAATCGATCTGAGAATAGACCGGGATCGTCTTTTTACTATTTCGCCCGGCACTCCAGTCTTTCCTCCAGCCAGTGTAGGTGGTCGTATGTCGAGCAGGATGATAAAAACCAGTGTTGGAGGCAAAGAGGTCAAATTCTGATAAGAAGTCTAACAAGTTTTCCCCCATATCGTTGCGCAAACCCATACCATGTTTACCCATGAAACGACCAAAACCAAAGTCCTTATCTGAAGCAGTCATTTTTCCCAACTTTGAATTAAAATCCCCCAAAACAAATATCTCAACATTAGCAGGGACGTTTAGAGCGTCCCTAACTTGGCCGTAAAAATTAATCTTGATAACTGCAAGATATTTAACGTCGCCAGCTCACGAAGTCGATTGAACCAGCCAAGAAAAATTTCTTATCACAAATTCTGATAAGGCGCCCAAAGCTTGTCCCTTATAGTTTGGGACTGACTTTGATTACACAGTTAATTACTTACCACACTCAGCGAGGGTTAAGTTGGTTATAAAGACGACAATCAAATATAACACTGACATCTTTATGAAAATAAACTGTTGCAGACCGCGGAAAGTTTTATAATTTAACGAAATTTGGTAGCGAGCCACACTCTAGCTGGTAAGGTACACCATGGTGCAGGTGAGATAATTCCATCTTTTTCGTTTCATCACGGCAACTTTACGTATGATAGTCGCCCTTAGAAACCAGATAAATTTTAATTAGATTTCGTATCGGTAAAATATAATATTTTCAAACTAATTTGCCTGATACGGCTAGTTTTCTCAGATTTTTTTCTACGGTATAGGAAATTTGAAACTCCATACTTTTGCTTTTGTAAGGTGACCTAAGCTCAATTTTGTTTTAAAATGTCCAGTGATCTACACGGAAAATCGTCTGAAGATAATTCTTACCAACATCAAATATGCATTGAATTGTTCATGAAGGCAGGATGAGCACCACTTCATATGATGCGAATCGGGGTCGCGTGGTGGGATTGGCGGTCGCGTGATTAGACCGACTGTCACGTGACCTCGGTTGTCCCTTCTGTGGCACAGGTGGCAGGCTGCGGTTGATCGGCTCTTGATTTATTTGGGCTTCAGTCCTTGAAAAGCTGATTTGTATTGAGTACACTGGCATATTATATATGAATGTGATACCAACTTTAACGAGTATAAAGTGGCATATTCAGATGCTGACTCCCGGCCCTACAGAAATTGAAGATTTGTGCTTCAGCTTGTGTTCTAAATATTAATAGATCATATCGTCACTTTCACGGGAATTGACGGTCATTGTCGTAAATTTAAATGTGGCAAGCACTCAGCAAAAGGCTTTTAAACAAAATTAAATCATTGAAATATAATAACACCCATGTTGTCGTGAACCATGCTTATTACATTCTAATATTATTCTTGATTATGAAAGTATGAAACGAGCATGTGTATTGTGTGCTAAATTTTGATTCCCTCTGTTACGTAATTATAAAGGAACAAATGGAATATTTATGATTTTAAACACTCCACTTCCTAACCATTTAATTGACAGTATAGACATCGAATAACGGGTAAACTACAGCGAATTGATCGTAGGTATCACTTTCACTTTTAGGATAGATTTTCATGCTAGACAGATTTTCATTCGAGACAAGAAGTAATTGTATAATTTCGGAGTTCAGGGTCTTCTATAACGGAATGGCTAACGTAACATAATGTTCTTAATGCACAATAATAGAATAATGCATGACATGTTTTCATAACGGAAACTGAAAGACAAAAATTTATATGAGATCTGGCATAGATCTGGCAAAGGCAGAGGGTATAAAATGTAAATTTATTTTTACGTTTTCAGATTTCTTTAAATCGATCGATTGTTCTCCTCCTAGTAAAAGTAGCTCCGTTGCTATTTGTACTTTCATTGCTTACATAAATGCTTTTTTTCTTCTTTAACAAAAGTTTTTTTTTGGAAGTTACGAATTAAAAATCGTATGATATTGAATTAAGCTTTTACGCCAGTCGACTGAGGCAGCATCAACTGCAAATATTCAAAGCATCGACCGTGAAATGATTCTCAGAACTTGAATTAAAGTTTAACGTAACTTACATTAACTGGTCAACATTTTAATCGACAACTTTTTTCTGTCTAATCTTTATAATCTTGGCCAAGATAATTTTAAAGACTTGAATGTATGTTTAAAGCCAATCAAGATCGAAGACTGTGATGACTGTTATGATAATTTGAACGTTTCAGAATTGGAATCTTGTGTAAAATATTTGGTCCGTTAATTGTTTCACATTAAATTGGCATTGTAAGTAACATAAGTATTACTAATAAACATTCAAATTCGAAACGAGTTTATTCCGTTCAGATTATTCTGAATTGTAACCACTTTCATAGGACAATGACTATGCTACATGTAAAACTTATTCTTGGCCTGTTGCTTTTATTGATGATTGCTGAAGCCGGTAAAAAGTTTTGCGAGAAGAAGGCACTAGTGTTTGAAAAGTGTCTCAAGAAAGGCTACCAAGCAAAAATCTTCAAGAAATGCACAACAAAGCCAACAGCTAAGACTATAAAAAGGAGAACGGCAAAAAATTGTTCTAAAGCTGAAAAGAAAATATCCAAAAAGTGTAAATCATTCGAGTGTGACAATACAGATGATTTGACTGATGAGATAACAGAATGGATACCTATTTTCAATTCAACATCGAACATTGTTGGACCCTTCCACTCCCCAAACTTCCCAGAATTTAGGTTGAAGTTCACTCAAAACAAAGATCTGACAAAACAAGCCAAAGGTTACTACCAAGGGGTAAACGTCAATTTATACAATGGCGAAGGGTTAAGACTTGGTTTTACAAACTTCATGCTAATCGCCAATGTGACTGAAGAGGATGAAGAAGTCCAATTTAAGGCACGTAAACGGTTATATTTCGACGGACCCTCATGGGATGAAGACAGCAATTGCTTCCAGTCTCTTGAGTTGTACTATCTGAAAGATTTCAACTTTGAGATGGTAACATCAGTTGGATCAGAGGAAATGTTCCAATTCACAACACCGAACGGAGAGAGATACAGTGAGGAAATGGGAGACTGCAGCAGCTACTCTGCTTGGCAGGAAATGTTGAAAGAAGCTCAGAGTGCGGACATGGGGATACTTAGTTGGCAAAGGGATCTGGCTGACTATTTTACCACTGAATACAACGTCAGGGAGCTTACAGATGACTCGACTGAAGACAAAACAGAGTGGACACCTATCTTCAACTCAACATCGAACATGGTTGGACCCTTCCACTCTCCCAACTTCCCCAAGTTTAGCTTGAAGTTCACTCAACACAAAGATCTAATAAAAGCATTGGAAAGTTGTAACCTGCATGTGAGCATCAATCTATACAGCGATAAAGGAACAAGACTTGGTTATACACACTTCATAATTTACGCCAATTTAATGGCTGAAGAAGTCAACTTCACGGCTTACAAACGTTTTTATTTTGACGGACTATTGTCTGCAACCCAAATTTGCTCACAGTATGTTGAGTTGTACTATCTGAAAGATTTCAACTTTGAGATGGTAACATCAGTTGGATCAGAGGAAATGTTCCAATTCACAACACCGAACGGAGAGAGATACAGTGAGGAAATGGGAGACTGCAGCAGCTACTCTGCTTGGCAGGAAATGTTGAAAGAAGCTCAGAGTGCGGACATGGGGATACTTAGTTGGCAAAGGGACCTGGCTGACTATTTTACCACTGAATACAAAATCAGGGAGCTTACAGATGACTCGACTGAAGACAAAACAGAGTGGACACCTATCTTCAACTCAACATCGAACATGGTTGGACCCTTCCACTCTCCCAACTTCCCCAAGTTTAGCTTGAAGTTCACTCAACACAAAGATCTAATAAAAGCATTGGAAAGTTGTAACCTGCATGTGAGCATCAATCTATACAGCGATAAAGGAACAAGACTTGGTTATACACACTTCATAATTTACGCCAATTTAATGGCTGAAGAAGTCAACTTCACGGCTTACAAACGTTTTTATTTTGACGGACCATTGTCTGCAACCCACATTTGCTCACAGTATGTTGAGTTGTACTATCTGAAAGATTTCAACTTTGAGATGGTAACATCAGTTGGATCAGAGGAAATGTTCCAATTCACAACACCGAACGGAGAGAGATACAGTGAGGAAATGGGAAACTGCAGCAGCTACTCTGCTTGGCAGGAAATGTTGAAAGAAGCTCAGAGTGCGGACATGGGGATACTTAGTTGGCAAAGGGACCTGGCTGACTATTTTACCACTGAATACAAAATCAGGGAGTTTTGAGTAAAGTTAATGTTCAATGTTGGCTATCATGGAATTGTTTAATGTGCAATATTCATTTATTTCCTTAGGTAAATGAGTATACAATATTAGAAATATTATAAATGTTGATGTAAAAATTTGTCAACAATTCATTTGCTCGAATAAAATAAATTGTGTTGTCTTGAACTGAGATTGACATACGTTGCATGCCATTTTTCGCGCGCGAAGCGCGCGCCGTCGAAGGGGCGATTTTTTCCCTTTTTGGCCATTATTTGACCACAGAATACAAAGTTAAATAGATATTGATCTGTTATTCATAATGAATGAGTAGTTTAAGCTTACCTTTCAAATAAAATTTGTCTCATCCAAAAATTTTGATAATTGACTCATTCGCATGGGCGTTTTCCCAAATACGGTCATATATAACTCAGCCAATTTTTGTCCAATGTGAACTTTATATTATATACGTGTTAAGGAGACTAGTAGCTACAAATGGAGGTGTTGGGTATGTTAAAACTGCGTTAAGGTGATTTGGCATAATTGATAATTGACTGACGGTGTTCGGTTTCGCCATCGTGTCATGTTAAAGTGAGTCATGTGATTCGCCCTCGTTTCCACCCTTTTAGGAAAATACCACCCATGTGTTCTGCACCCTCGTGCTCTCTGCACTAATGTCTTCCGCTCTTGTGTCCGGTTTCCTCACGATTTCTATCTTTTAAATATGTAACGAAGTTAGGCCCCGGCTAAAAATAAACCTCGCGTGATGCCGCACTCATATTTTGGTTGTCATGACCGCCGAGATAATCCGCCTTCTACATATTTATATACAGGGTGGGCCAAAAGTCAGTGTGCAAATATTGGCCTTAATCAGGTGATAAGATATCGCTTAAATACGGCCGGCACGGAAATGTTACCTTGTCACACTATAAACATGTAACGAAGTAAATATGGACCCCTTCATGCTGGCTTTTTTGACAAAATTTTCGAGTGTCCAGCTAGTAGTACCGTCGCTGGAAATAATAGTACCTAATTACGTAGAGTCAATAACTTGCTGCACTGGCGCGTGTCCTCAACAGTGATGTTTATTGTGGTTTCTTTCGTGTATGGTCGTTGAAAGTTGCTGAAAGATTTGTGGTACTGAATATTTGAGGATATTGAACAGAATTATACAGTATAGTATTTATATGACTTACTCTCGTATTAGAAATAAGAAATCACAGTGCTGGCAAGCACGAGCGTTGTCTTTATTGGGGGTATACTATGTACCCCCTTTACTATAAAACCCCCTTTACTATAAAACCCCCTTT